CTACGGGAGCTTTTTGCCGAGGGGAGTGCTCTCGGGGGTGGGGGATGCTCCGGGATTGTCCATGTCCCCAGAAGGGATGGACGTCCTTGTGGATCCCTTCTCTGGCACAGGGGGCATGCATGTGGGGACCCCCATCCCGGGGAATATTCAAGGGAATTGGGGCAGGGGTAACCTAGGGACCCTGCCCCAGGGGGTGGCTTGCACCTCCCCGGGGAGGGGCAGCGTGGGAGAGGGCAGGCAGCGCTTGGAGCAGGAGCTGATGCCTTGCAGGTGGGATGCTGCAGGGCTCTGGCTGTGCCACCCCCTTGGCTGTGCAGGAGCCCACAGTGAACCTGAGGGCTCTGCCCATGCCAGTGGGCTCTCCACTTGTGCCACGCACCGGTGCTGAGCACAGCACACGTCCCCACAGGCACGGGGAGGCATGTTTTGGGGCCACACCTCTTACCTGGCCTGGCTGGAGCGGGGTCCCACCTGTGTTCCTGCCTGTCTGGGGCTCCTGCAGTCAGTTTTCCTGCTTGCCTCTCCTCTTCTGCTCAGCTTACCCCAGCTTTTGGCCCTCCTGACATGGCTGAGATGGCGTCAACTTTATAAGTCATGTCTCTCAAAAATGAGTGCCTGAGCATGCTCGGGCCTCCAGAGAACCATGCTATGCTGCTGCCCACAGCTTGCCCCTGTTTTCTTTCTCCACCCAGATCCTCTGCCAGGCATCTGAGATCCCCAGGGGGGAAAAGGCTGGCACAACGGAGGCAAAGGCAACCAACACCAAGTGGTGGCCGGGCCACAAGCAGAAACACCCCACAAGGAATGGCAAGGTGAATGCTGGCACCCTGTGGGCATCGGGGCTGTGTGGGCAGGGGACTCAGCTGGGGCAGGGATAGGGGCTGGGTGCAGGCAGATCCCAGGGACACATCTGCTCATCCCTCACAGTGCAACCTGATCGGCTGGTGGGAGAACGAGCTGGGCTCCAAAATGCACGTGTCCACAGTCGACAGCCAGGGCAACTTCTCTGGCGAGTACCACACCGCTGTGTCAAGTGCCCAGAAGCCCATCAAGCCATCCCCCCTCATTGGCTCCCAGCACTTGGATGAGGATGGGCAGTGCACCTTTGGCTTCACCATCAACTGGAAGTTTTCTGGTTGGTAGCTGCAGTGGTGGCCATGTCCACATGGGACGGTGGGATGGAGAAGGGAGCTCAGGGAGGTCCCAGCACCCACCCCGCTCCCTCTGTCCCCTCCTCTCCTGTCCCCCATCTGTCCTTCCCTGATCTCTCCCAACTCTGGACAGTGTCTGCAGACAGCAGGACACCTCCTGAGACACTGCTTGAGCTAGGTGGCATCAAGAGTTGCTTTGACAACATCTCTGCTGCAGAGCATTCCCTTGAAACCATTGGGACCCCCCGGGCTCTGTGAGCATTAAGCCCAGTGGTGCTTGTGAAGCCCCAAAAGCAGCTGGGGTCCTGCTGGGATGCTAACAGCCACCACTCCCCCAGACTCCACAGCTGTCTTTGTGGGCCAGTGCTTTGCTGGGGACAGTGAGGACGAGGTCCTGCAGACATCCTGGCTGCTGCGGGAGAAAGTTGACTCCCTGCACAGCGACTGGAAAGCCACCAGGTGAGGCATGGGACACCCGGCCCGGCTGGGACCCCTGTCCCTCCACTGGCCAGGCACTGATGGGCTTCTGCTTCGCTGCAGGACTGGCCGCAACGTCTTCACTCGGACAGGCTGAAAGGAGGACGGAGAAGAAGAAGCCTCTTGCTTCAGCCAGGCTTGGCAGACTGCAGAATCCCTCAGCAGCACCAGTGTGTACCAGCATCAGAGCTGTTACCAGCATCAGAGCTTTTACCAGCTTCGGGGTCAGATGTCCCCAAAAACCAAATAAAGTTTTTTTTTATTTACACCCAACCTTGTGCAGTCTGTGGATGTGTCCTGGAGAAGCTGGGCTAAAGCATTGTGGTGAGTTCTCACCCTGTTATTCCAGGAAGAGACTGGCTGCAAGAAAGCCCCTTTTCCAGACCAAATGGGGTAGCGCATCCCCAAAATGACCCTCTGACACCAAGCTCAGGGCAGCACTGGCTCTTCCCTGCTCGATGCCAGGTGAGCATAATGGGAATGTAAGCTGGGGGGCCTTTTTGCACCCCAAAAAGCTTTGTGGCACTCCCCCTGGATCCAAGGCAAGCCCCCAGGCAGGCAGGTGCAGGGTCTCAGCTTTGTCCATGCTCCTGGTGAGCAGCAAGGGCTGCTCCATACCGGCAGTGCAGCGCTGGTAGCTGCAGTACATCCAGTCCCAAAACTCCTACTAGGGAAATGTGTGTGATTTACGGGAAATTGGACATCCAGCAAATCTATCCAGAAGACCCTGCTTGCTGGACTTTGTGACTTCCTGTAATGGTCAGCGCCGGTGCTGCTAGAGTCACTCCTCCCAGCTGAAGTGAATGATTTCCAGGAAACTCAGATGCACATCTGGAAGTGAAACTTGGTTTTCAGGCTGTCCAGTTACCAAGAAAAACACAGACAATGCTGCACACTCCATGCTGGCACCCTGCCTGGGATTTGAGCATCCCAAAGGCAGGAGTGGGCTGGTGGGTCTACCACCTCCCACTGCTCCCCCATTTTTCTTGGCATGAATGCCGTGGGAGAGCTTTGCTAACAGCATCCACAGTTTTAGCAAGTTTAACACCTGCTCTGTGTTTCAGCCCACCTCGTTGACTTGCATGTCATTTGCTTTTCATGTTTTTCTCCCTTGGGTCTATCTGCCGCCTCTGGAGTGATGCTGCTGTTTCCTTCACAGTGCCTCCCTGGAATTTCTCCAGCTTTTTTCAGATGCCTTACAGCCTTTCTGAGCAGAGTGCCTTTATGCCAGCCCTCTGCTCCAGTGTCCTTTGCTCTGTGCAACTTTTACCTGCTTTAGAGGAACCTGAGAATTAGGAAAGAGGGTGGCAGAGGGACCACAGGGCTCTCCTCACCCTGAAGCATGGCCAGCTCAGCAGTGGGACACCTTGCTAAGCCTGCAGCCTTACTACATGCATCCTTCTGACTTTATTATTGCCCTCATGTCAACATTTCCCCACGACAGGGCTCCCCAGAGGCTCTGCAGAAGTCCTCAGGCACTCCAGCAAGGCAGCAGTGCTGACTGTGGTTTGAGCAGTCTGCAAATCCCTGCAGACAGCCACATTGCCAGTGAGAAATGCAGTGTGCACAGGCTGTCCGAGCTGTTTGCAAGGCCAGTCCCTACATCAGGGCACCCAGCAAGGCTGCGATGCATCTAGCATCCCAGTTTTGGGATGGTAGGTGATGGGACATGGTGTGCCAGGGGTGTTCACAGGCATTGTGGGGGTGTGTGTGTGGGGGAGTGTCTGATGATGCTTCCCTGTGTGCACTGGGCATTCAACTGGGTTTTACCCAGCTGCTCGCAGTGCTTTGCACACTGCTTGTGTCTGCTGTGCCTCCCTGAGCTGCAGACCCAGCACTTTTTGCCTCCTTTCAGGCCGGGCTCACCAGCAAGACAAGGCGAGCAGCGGGATCCCCTTCAGCCCCGCTGCAGACCTCCCTCTGGTAGGAAAATCAGCTGTTGCTGTTGCATGGCAAGCCTTGGTCAGGGCCATTGACACACTGTGAATGCCCTCAGGGGCACAGGGAGCTGCAGGAGGCAGGAGGCACCTTGCAATCACATGCAGCGTGTGGCTGCTGCCATGTCTATGTTGCACAAGTGTTCATACATAGTTTAACGGTTAAAAAAAGAAAAACTAATTTATTGGGATCTTGGCATGGGGTAATGCTCACAAAGGCGATCAAATCCCTCAGTCAGTCACTGTCAGGATGGAGAAGGAGTCTCCACTGCAGCATCCTCCAGCACTTACATATCTTAACCACATGCAGAAGACTATCCTACGTGACCATTTCTGCAGTGACTGTTACTATCAGCTGTTTACAAATGTTTCAACACTGAACACCTCAGTACCAAACATCTGCCTCAGTCCAGCTGTTGTCCCACATTAAGCAGATGGAGCTGGGGAGTTCCCAGGTCACTCAGGGACTTCATGGCAGGTCGGTTCAGGTGTGTACACAGGTAAAGCCTGGTACTCAGCCACACTGCAGTGATGACAAAAAAAATAAACCTGATTTTCAAGCATATAGCTTCATTTACAAATGAAGTCCCATAGCTCCTGCCCCCTTTGCTGTGCGTGGTGCTGCAACTTCCCCTCTCCTGAGTCCTTGGCGTAGTCAGCAGGACGATGCAGAATCACCAAAAACTTACAAAAACATGATATCCAACAAAATCTCACCTTCCCAGAGGACTGGGCTTGTAATAATTGGCATAACTGAGAAATAGTAGAAAAACAGTTAACTGTTGCTAGAAGTTCAACTGAAGATGGAAAAGACAAAGATGCAATTTGTAAAATGTTAGGAATGTCCCTGTCAATATAGGAAAAAGCATAATAAAAGGGAGCAAGACGTAAAAGAAGAAATAGAAGGTAGAAAAACAGCTGAATTAATACAGTCCCTGCAAACCGAACAACTACAGAAGCAGTTACAAGAAGAAAAGGAAAAAAACACAAGAGTTGAAAGACAAAATTGAGATGATGCTCATGCGAGCCTCACATCCTCCTAACCTTATGCAAATTAGGAAATTAATAGTGTTCCCAGAGGACTGGGATGGTAATATTTGGGATAATCCTGATGACTATGATGAGGAAAATGATTACTCCTTGTTCCCTTCAGATTTCTCTATATATGAGGCTAAATCCACCATTGAAACGAAATACATTCCTGTTCCAGTTGACCCTCAACAACAACTGGTCGGATTTATAATAGATATGTGTCGTGGGTTAAAGTTAACTTAA